TTTTAGGGGGAGTCAGGTGAGAGAGGGTAGGCCTAATCAATAAGCCAAAAAATTTCTAAGGTCGCATGGAACTAGGTGCTACTAAAAAGCAGAGTATATATCAAACTCTTAGAAGGGCATAAAACTTACCCACTTCTCCAGTTTCACCTTGTAAAACTGAACAGACGTTATGGTACCTCTCTAATCCATCTACCTCTCCCTAAATGATAGCAGAAACGCTGGAAATGCGTAATACCATTACTGTACCAACCGTGGTGACAAAATATGAACCGCAAACAGGCGCAGATTATAACATGAATCTCGGTAGGAGGGGAAGTCCACTTAGGCTCTTTGTTTTATTATTATCATTATTATTATTATTATTATTATACTAAAATGTACAATGCGTCGGGGATCGTAACTAACTTTGGATCGAACTATCTCCGAGGGGATTCTCGTTTAATTTCGGCTTAGATGTCTGTCACGCCCACTGAAGCTGATAGGGGGTAATTAACTATCGTTTAGCAGCTTTAGCAGGCGTGCCATACATATAAGCCACTTAAGCTGAAAGCAATTTGGCGAGAAACCCCGTGGAGATGGACCGATCCTGTTAGATCGATCTAGGGATGGGAACCCAGTCCTAGACAACCGCCGTAGCTTAGGCTACAGCCGCGTAGGCTACAGTATACCAATTGCCTGATTTTCTCTAAATTATGCATTTTTATCAGTTATTTCTTTAGCCCGTACGGCTTTCAAAAGGCCAAAATAGAAAATAGCATAAGATAAAACAAAATTGAGACTATGACACATTGATGTACTGAGATTCAAAAGGAGAAAAAGAAAATGATTCTGTCATCTTGTAATTAAAGCAAATAAATCAGTTTTACATTTTTAATGTGACTTCATTGTATTAAAACAATGTCTTTAGTATCATCTAAACACGTTAAAACAGCGACAAAAGGCATTATTTTGATAATCACCCCCAAACCTCCTTTACTCTGACCTCCGATGAAAATAATAAGGTACTAGGAAACAGACTTTCAACTTTTGCGGTGATGTCTTGGCTGCAGCTAGGCTAAAACCAACGAGGCACTTGTACTGTATGAAACAGCTCCTGGTTTATTTTATTTGTCGATATTATTCAGATTGGACCTAGATAAGACGAATGGTCAAAAAACCCTTGACAAGGAGCACCCTTCAACTGTTGTTTTGGACCAAACATGATTTTTCTCATCACATCAGTATATATATACAGGGTTACTACTTAATATGGAATATTTTTTATAATTGTTATTTTTGAGTGCTGATTAATTTTTTTTGGCCTGATTCATCAAAAAAGTATATCACTGAGTGAGAAAAACATCCAGTCTTCTGTTGTGAGATATTTTGGTCAATAATATCAAATCTGACATAAGATGTCATTCAAAAGAAAAGAACACCCCCAGAAAACCATATCAACAGTTTGATGTCAGTATTAACTTTAAGCTAAGATAAGAAATGATAGCCTCCGGACAGTGATATGTAACACAGTCAAAGAAATCATTACAGTAAATCATGAAAAGTCATCAATAGCGGGTATGACCTCCAGCAGCCGCTTGGAGCGCCCTCATCCTACATGCCATACCCTGTGACAAGTTTTTTAGAGTTTGGATGGGGATATCATTCCACGCAGTGATATTTTCCTGTCGCATTTCATCACTATTTACCGGCCGATGACCATAGCTATTAATTCGCCGAGTTACTTCCGCCCATAGATTTTCAATTGGGTTCATTACTGGGGAGTTTGCAGGCCAGGGCAGTTGCTGAACCCATTGGTTTTGAAGAAAAACAGTGATTCTGCGAGCTCGATGTGGGGTTGCACAGTCGTCTTGGTACACAAAGTTGTTCCTGAAGATGACTCTTACAAATCGAAGCATTGTTTGCTGTAGAATGTCTCTGTAGGAACCCTGGTTGAGGTTGCCGCCTAGAAAAACCAACTGGTTCTGGGCACCGGCATGGAATGCGCCCCAAACAGAGACGTTACCACCCCCTGCATGCACCCTAGGTAGTACACAATCATCGTTTTATGCCTCTCGTACACGTCGGCGGACACGGATTCGACAGTCAACCCCCCAAATTCCATATCTGGCCTCATCACTGAAAACGACGTGATTCCAGTGTTTTGGCTGCAAACGCACGTGGTCCCCAGCCCATTGCAGACGTCGCTGTATATGACCTGCTGTTTACAGTGGTTTCCGTACTGGTCTTCGTGCAAAATAAACAGTTTGCTGTAATCTCTTGTTCACAAGGGACCTTGAAACGGGCGTTTGAAAGGCATTCTGCCACCCTTTTTTAGGACACTGGTTGTCTTTGTACGACCAGCACTGCGCACTCTAAGGAGAAGGCGATCCTGTCTTCTTGGTGTGGTACGCGGACACCCTGGTGGAAGTATTGGAGTAGGTGCCCCTGTTGTGGCATTTGTTTGGAGGACTTTACTAACGGTTCCTGAAAAATGTTGAATTGTCTGGCTATGGCTGTCCGTTTCTAGACATTTTCTCTGAGAGCAAGAATCCCATAGTAAGCTGCGTTGCTTAGCTGTCGAACCATATCTTCTCTAAGGTACCTAACAATTTTCAGAGCGATCCCTTTGTTGCTTCTCTAAATACACTCCAAAGATTGACCAAACCCATGCGTTTTTATACAAGATCAGAAATTGCCGAAAAGACCACCCCTCACATTTCTGACCACAGAACATGCAACTGCTTACATTAATTGTTTCGAAAGTTGCATGGTAATTAGGTAACACACCTGGCTACACATAAAGTGACACCTCAGTTTTGGATTTAAAAGAGTAAGAGAGAAAATAAATACTTTGTAGAAAATTTACTCGCCAAAAAATAATATTCCATATTAAGTAGTAACCCTGTATATAGGGCCTATATTTTTTTCTTTTTATCTAAATATTATTCGTATAAAATCTTTTTTATATGTTTTATTATTTTTTATCACATAAAAGTATGTGAATGTTTGTCCGATAATCTTCATGATCACTTGTCGCGTTGCAAATAAAGGGATAAAGTGATCAAAGATTTTATTTGTTCTTGGAAAGTTCATTAAATAAATATTTTCACACTGCCACCATTTCAAATTAATAGCAATTTTATTAATTTATATATGTATTAATTTATTTATTCATATGTCGGCTAAGGTTATTAATCACCATATGGATCGGATAAAGCAAAGTTTTATTCTTAATATCCTATCTGCAGTGGGAACAGTTTTTGGAAAGATGAATGCTAGAACAGGTGAGTTCCTAGAGTAGGCCTACATTAATGCTGACAAAGACGAACATTTTCTTGAGGAAGATTTTAAATACGTGGATGATAAGATTTGAAATCAGGTTGCTGAGAGTGTTTCGAGACGAGAGCATAATGACATTGGTATCGAATGAAGCTTAGAATTTATTATATACAGTAGGCCCTTTATGGTATGCAAATTGCGGGAGATGATGTAATAGAAGTGATTATAATGGCGCATAGGCCTACTGCCAATGGTTAGGTTTCTGACCTTCTTTTAGGAAGGACAGAAGTACTAGTTACCTTTTATTACCCTGATAAACCATAGTATTGCCACTCTTGTCATCGTTTACGGCTTGATGAGATGTGATATTTCTTCAATAAACCATTCAAAGATCCGTTCGAAATACAGCAATATAGCCTGAGGTGAGAGATTGACATCAGATTTATGTAATTGAAGTTGGACATCGATTGGTCTGCGACGTATATCTAATGATTCAATGAATTTTTAAAATATATATTTAGCACAAGACAGGGGGTCTTGGCCTACTGCTACCTGTGCAATGGACTGCCGAACCCTACCCCCGGGCCCCTGCCGATGGCTCATACACAATTCAAAAGTGATCTTGGAGAACGCTAACTTGGTTTTATTCGTCCATGAATAGGCCTAAGCCTTCCGAAAATGTTAGGAAATTTCATTTTTACTGGGTAGGCCTATTTCTGGCCAACATTCGCCTTTTTGGACGTCTAGGCCGGGTAGATCTGGCGAGTGCGACAGACATAAATAATGCCTATAGGTCCCCTATAATTACGCGGGGCATGAAGGAAGAGCGTCTAGACATGGGAGATGTGACCCTTAATGTACAAAACGTCAGATATAATAAGTTTATAAATTTTCTTCCTTTTTCTATTTGGACCTTTACGTTTAATTGTTAAAATAATGACAGGTTGTTGACGAGCAAAAATATTTCATACGGAATCGCAGCAGGCCGGCTCTCACGCTTTCATTTAGGCCTATCTGATAGTTCTTCACAACAAATCTTTGAACTGTAAGATGTAGCCTACTAGCTAGACTGTGGTATTTAAATAACTTGGCATTACTTTGGGAAAAAAACTGTTAATAGCCACATCACGTTTTTTACTGGGCCTTATAATATATTAATATGGCCAACCAAGTCTCTCGCCAGCGAAGAATAGACCTCCACCCCGATTCTCGGTGCATTCTGAATAGGCCTACTAGTATACTATAAGTATGTAGCGATTGATGGCTTAGGGGCCTAATAGTTTCATTTTATGCAGAAGTTAAAAAGTGAACAAAATAAACAATTAATCAATACTGATGTCGCGGGTGATTGACACACGTGCGTCTTTGGACCCACAGCGGCTTGCACCTGTTCACACCCCTGCCCCACCCACCCCCGACACAGACTCCCTCTGTAACAGTAGACCTTTATTTTCCAACTAATTGATATAAATACCTATTCATTTAACAAAAACAACGACTGAAACAACAAAATTTATAAATTTCCCATCATGGTATGTTAAGTATTCGCTGGAAGTTCGTCGTTACATGACCTTACGAGGAGAGATCGTTGGAATAAAAAAAGTAATAAGAATGAATGGGCAATGCATTTCTTTGTCTCGTTGTGATTGGTCAATTGCAAAGAGCCCGGATAAGAATGTCTAGATATTTAGGCTTGCGAAATATGATTGGATAATGAAATTGGAGCATGCGTAACCGGATGTTATTCATCGTGTCGCGCCAGTGTGTGGAGGTGTGCGAGGGTTTTGCCGAGATGATGTTTCTCTACGGTACGAACGTTGGCGGATAGAAGGTATTTTACATCCCCTAAAATGAATTGGCGCTTTATTGATATGTAAACTGTGTTTTCTTATTTTCTCATGGGACTAAACGATCTTGATGAAGATGATATGGTACTGTTTTGTCTGACCAGGAGCCTGAGACAGTTACTCGGTGACATTTGATTTAGCGATTTGCCTTCTGCAGCCGGCAAATGCATAGCGTGCAAATGCTTTGCCTTTTCTATTTCGCGAAAAAAAGCAATAGATAGGGATAAAGAATGTTCTTAAGAAGGCTAACTATATAAGCTAGGTATCAAAATACCAACCAAATTCGGATCTTCCACAGCCTGCATTACTTTGAAGAAATAAACTGTAGTCTGCAGTGTATTTCTTGTTTAGCAAAATTTTGTTTGAAATGTCTTACTTGTCGATCTAATTTACTCTTTTAAAAACATAATATGGGCTTTATTAACCTTGTTAATGGCAGTGTGTAGTACAACAATTATGATAAGCGTGGACCTCAGTTCAGGACAACAATCAATAAATCAATAAACAACCAATAAACTTTTCTTATGCACAAGGTATTCAAATTGTACAAGATGACAAGGTCATTGTGACAGAGTCGTACTGACTCAGATTGGTCAATATTTCATAGAAAGTACTGTCATTTTTATACCATGCTCAGGACATTTATCTTTCTCTTCACAAGGCTTATACAGTTGAATACAAGGTGGACCAGTACGGTGATATCTTATTTCATAATAATGTGTTGGCTAGAAAAAAGTTTGTCATCCTTCTGATTTAAGGCCATCAGTCAGCACAGTTTTTGAGGAATCTTGTAGCACAGCCAGAAAATATAATCTCCACTTCCCAACACAGACTGATTAATCTTAATCAGTTGTGATACTCCTTTCCCCTCTGTTTACGTTCACATTCTGCCTCAAATTCAAATTTTAGACAAAACACTGAGTGTCACTGATAAAGCATACATTGAAAAGAAGTTCTAAGTTATGTTCTGTAGTTCTCAATAATGTTGCCAACTTGCCACCTTAACATCAGTTTGTTGCACATATGTAAATTGCATATAAAGTTAATTATGTTATATCATCTGTTTCAAAAGTTTTAGACCATTTCAAAATATGTTTGTCTTTGGACACATATATGTGTCCCAGTTTAGTAATTTTTATTAATGACAGAAATTATATATGATATTTCAGATCAAATCCAAATTGTTTGGGAATCGCACATAGAATTTTGTATGATATAAGAACTATGTACCAGATATTTGCTACAGAATTCACATGACATTCACAAATTTTTCAAACAGTTGTGTTAAGAAATGTTCGTGATATAAGAATAATTAAAATATTAAAATAAGTTTGTAGATTGAGTGGTTCACTGTTGATGAATTTTTTTTAAGTCATTGATGTAGAATTTTTATGTAAAGAAGCTCAGTCCAATTTTAGAAGGAAATGATTGGTGGTGTAATAAAATCTGATAACAGGAAGGAGATGATTTGTTACTTCTGCCAATGTTTGCAGATGGTGCCTTTTCTAAGTACCAGGAAATGAATTGATGTGTATTAGTAAAATTGAATAAGACTGCATTGGCTACTATGGCAGAGTTGTCATTGTTTTTAAAAGACCCCTGTTTCACTTGTCCCATGAGGCTGTAATTGATCAGTGAAGTCAATATCGAAAGAAAATAATGTCCATTATGTCTTTATATAGAAACAAGATATATGATGACAACAAAAAAAGTAAATAAAAATTCCTGAAGTTTCAGCAATTTTTCAGTTATCACAAAGCTTTTCCTTGTCCCAAACCTAAGTTATCACAAAGCTTTTCCTTGTCCCAAACCATTGAGAAAAATTATGATCTAAAAACAGTTTTAGATATCATGATTACTAACTTTTACCCTCATTAGTGTAAAGAATCCTTCTTCATCTGCATCATGAAATCACCCATAAGTAAGAACTTACAACACAGAAGTGGTTTATAGCTTGTAAATTTGTCAATAATTTTGTTAAATTCAAGAAAATTAATTCATGTCCTAAGGTCTAATGCTCATAATCATTGAATGGGAATGTGTATAGCTGGAAAAGTTACAGATGCTCATTTATAAATTATCCAATATGAATCTTTGAAAGATGCATAGTTATATTGCAAAAAGATTGGCTGACATGCCATCTGAAAATGTATCCATTTACTCTTAATCATTATTATTGTTTTTATAGTGTCATTATCGTTGTTGTTTTCCATTTCATTTCTGCTTTTTTATTCGCATCTGAAATAAGCTTATTATATTTGTACAGAGTCTAAATGTTTAATTCATATAAAGAGGTTATATGACTCTCAGATCATTGATTATTTATGATTTAATAATTTCCTTTATATTTTATTACAAGTGATCATTAAATAATTAATGTATTGTTTGTTTATTTTCTTTTAAGTGATGCGGATATAAGAGAACATATTGCAGTTTTTCGAAAAAGATCAGGAAAAAGAGTTGTTTCTTTCAACGAATCCGAGAGCAGCCTCTTCAAGGCCACCTTTTTTTATACTAGATATACACAAGGATAAGGGCATATAGTAGATGTGACTCCAGGCAAACCACTGTGTTTATTTAGAGATCTATCTGCTACTATCTATGATGATGACCAACCAAGCTCCCACCTCTGCTGATGCCTGCCTCAGCATTGTCCATAGCCTCATGTGTCACCGTCAGGGTGGGGAGAGTGAAAGCTTTGCTAAAAGAGCCATCGAAAGCTTGGTGAAAAAGCTGAAAGAAAAGCGCGATGAACTGGACAGTTTGATTACTGCTATTACGACAAATGGTGCTCATCCAACAAAGTGCGTTACAATTCAGCGGACGCTTGATGGAAGATTGCAGGTAATTAACCGATTTTTTTTTCAAAGCATGATTACTTGTGTAGAACCTTTAGAATGCGGCATTAAGTGCCTTTTGGGTCAATCAACCACAGGCGTGACAAAATTTTGACCCGTGATATGAAGGGTTTCAAAAGTTCACAATTTAGAAGTATTCATACTTAATTTCCTTTTGTAGCCAGAGGAGACCCAGATTCTAGATAATTGAATTTTGGTCAATGGGCATCCCAGTGAACTAGCTGTTGACTCCAGCAGTAATCATGTATGCAAATGTAGGTGTGCCTGTAATATTGTGCCCTGATTAAAGACTGAAGGGCGCCTGTACCATACTATATAGAGAGAGAGTATACTGCACACTCCATTGCTCTGGATAAATATGGTATAAATGGAGATTATGTAGACCAGGATCATATCTGTGTAAGACTTCCAGTATCTGAACTTTGTAAATGTTGCCTGGATTAAGCATTGATTTTTGTGGTTATTCTACTCCCATTTATCCTCTGAACATTCTGATGACTCACTTTAAAGAAACAATTGAAAGGAATATGAATCTTATGATGTGTTCATTCATCATGCTGTGTGTGCATGGAGCTAAGATAACCACACTGTAATTGGTTTGAATGGCCTGGAGGAAAAAGTCATTCTCTCTTCACAACTACTAAAACCAAACTTTGGATGATGTTTTTCGTCAACATTTGCATGTTGGGTGTTTTGAGTGTTGACATTATGAAAGTTATCATAATGTTTTTTCAGTGAAAAAATAATAAGTTTCTTTTCAGGTTGAAAACAAACACTGTTGTACTAACAAATGGGAAGAAGTGACTAGAATGTTATGAGTATCTGAGTTTGAAAAGATATTGATTTAGATGTAGAAGTTTACAAAACACTGTAATTTGTTCCTCTGCGAAAAGAGGTATCCTAAATGTCAGTAAAACAAGAAATAATGCATGTTTTGTAAAGAGAAAAGAAGCAATGGCATTGTAACTATCTACAATTCCTAAAACAGTTGTCCCATTGGGTCAAGCTTTCAGGATAGCTGATGCACTGGGTCAGTGCTAGTACTAGAATGACCTTGGCGGCCTCACATAAACTGGTTCTTGTTTGTTGTTTTTTTATTGGCGCCCTTTCAGTAACAAAAAGCACAGAGTTGTTTATGTAAAAGGTCAGTGTATTGTCCAGTGTTCAGTGTTATTTATTATAATAGATGTTCTCAACAATTTGGGCCAGGTGCTGTGAATGATAATGATGTACATCAGTAAGTACAAAAATATAGCGGTTGCTTTCAATTCAACAGAAGAACTATTCACTATACCAGTTGAATTTGAAATTTTTATTACCTGGTATCAGTTTGAAATAGAAATAACATTCCAAAAAAACTGCATGGATTTGTCTCATTAATATTTTACCCAAGTTATTTTTCTTCTATAAGAAAGGCCTTAAAATGTCTTTTAAAACCAGTTTATTGTTTTTGCATCCTAAACTTAATTTGAGGTTGTCAGAATATTCGGTATATGCCAGGACAAGGTCCAAATGCATTGAACATAATTCAATCACATGTGACATGCAAACAGAAACCAAAACATATTTTGATGAACCTAGAGACCATTTTGTGCTTAACCCATTTAGATTTCTTACTGAAAAAAAATGTGTATATATGCTTATTGAACATTTTTTTGACATATGATTTATGTTTTTAACCAAAGCTTCTATTATTCTTGTTCTTATATTTATTATTATTAAACTTTATTTATTGAGGGAAAAATTATGGTAAATCTTAAACCTTTTTCACAGCCCTTCTCTAATAAATTATACGCTAAAATGATATACAGCTACTGTTTAAATGCTTTATTACATAAGTTATTTGTAGACCTATGGATTGAATAACAGCAAATTTGAACTGTGTCTTGAATCTCTTTTGGCACCCACTTATCAGATTGTCCGGCCAATTGATTAGCCCAAAGTTTTACCCCATGTCTGCCAGAGGCTTACCTTTGGATATGATAGCATGTTTATACTGTAACTAAAGATAAGGACATTTGGACCAGCTTTCACTGGGACAGTGTTGCTGCATATCAAGCATCCTTGCATAAAAACAAATTGATTTTTGAATTAGATATAGTGGCAAATATCCATTAAGAAGAAAACCCCTGGGTATCTTAATTGTTCTATCAAGTAGATAAAGGCTTTTTGCTGTTACTCACTGACAAGTGGTAAGGACACATTTTAGTTATTGTTTGGGCAAGTTTTTAACTATTGTTTGCTGAATAACTTCCAATTTTGACTTTTCTATGGCATCGTTATCCAGACCTATTTATCAAGAGGATCTCTGATTTTGATTAATTTGCTCATATGCCAGAACTAAAACAGAAAATAACTAGGGAGACAGCTGTTATGTTCTTAGATCATTTTCAGCAGCCTTACTTGTCCAAAGTTTTGCCCATTTCTAGGCCAGTCAGTTTTGATGCTTGCCTTAGGGGTTGCCAGTTCCCATGTTTCTGATTTGATTTTAAGTGAGGTTGCATTGTTCTGTTCACCTTTGCAGGTGGCTGGCAGGAAAGGTTTCCCTCATGTTATCTACGCCAGGATTTGGCGCTGGCCAGATTTGCACAAAAATGAACTGAAGCATGCCAAGTTTTGCCAGTTTGCATTTGATCTGAAACAGGACAGTGTCTGTGTCAATCCATATCACTATGAGAGGGTGGTGTCTCCAGGGATAGGTGAGTTGGACCTCCTTCATATCACGTAGAATCTGAGTCATTGCATGAAAGATTAATAAGATGCACCGTGTATGGTATACCTTTGTATAGTAAGCATTAAATTTTCCTGGAAGGACAGGGATTTTTCCTTTATCACCAAGGTGCACCGTATTCAAAACTGTTGAGAAAAGTGTTATCGATAAACATATTTTCATGTTTTAAACTAATTAAACTAAATCAAAATTTTCTCATCACAAGTGGAATCATTGGTATCTCTCTCTCCATGAGGGAAATGACTCAGAAATTAGAAATTTAGCAACTCATAGGCATGTCTTTGGATAATTATTTTGTGAATGATCTTTGGTGTGGTATATCTTGATGATAAACTTCACAGTTTTTCAGTCAGTTGTGATTTTGAATATTTCTATAATTCATGAGTTAGGAAAAGATGTAAGATTAACTTGCTTCCAAATGCTTGTATATGCAAAATGGTAAAGAAGAGAGTTTGAAACTAAAATTTCAGATTTGTGAATAGTGAATTAAGTTAAATCTAGTATTTTTTTTAAATCAACATCTTAATGTTTCAGATTTGTCAGGCTTATCACTACAGTCAAGTATAACAGGTAAGAGCTGTGTAACATTGATGTCATTTAATATGAATTTGATAAATGTGTTAAGTGATTTCTTTGTCCTGTAATTTAAGTATTAGTCAGAAGCATAGTATTAGTCGTCTTTGATATGATTTTTTTTTTAATTCACTTCCTGCTTTAGCAGAGAATTGGAATATCTTTCATAATATTCTCTGAGCATTGAGTAAAAACTCTTGTCATTAACAGACTTTAATCAAGAGAAAAAATATCCTTTGCTTCAGCTCATAGACCACACATGCTATTTGGCAATGACAAAAAATTGACTGCGTAATATCTAGAATAGTCAGTATAATCGTACACTATAAAATGTATTCAGAGTGGGGAATTTAGAAATGAAACCAGAAATATGTTTTATCTTCACAAAAAGAGGGATTACCTGTACCACACCATAAAAATCTTTTTTTCCACCCAAGCTTTTGAAATTATTTGATATATGGAAGAGATTATTTCCAATAATTAAAAAAATTTAGATTATTTGAAAACATTGTTGCATTGAAACATGCTACAAGATCCAAGACAATGGTTTCCAGTCTAAGGTTTTTTCACAGAATGATTTGTTAAATATATATATTCCTACTGGTTTCATTTTAGCTGCACCTTCACGTCTGATCAAAGATGAGTTCTCCCAGGAATGTGTACAGGTGGAACCAAGTCTGGCTACCCCAGGGACTACTGTGCAGCACCCACCACAGTCCACAGAGACCTACACAAGGCCCATACTCCACACTCCTCAGGGCACATCAGGTAGGCCTATACTACACACTCCTCAGGGCACANTGCATGTCAGGTAGGCCCGTACTCCACACTCCCCAGGGCACACCAGGTATGTCCACACTTCACACGCCTCAGGGCATGTCAGGTAGGCCCATACTCTACACTCCTCAGGTAGGCCGTACTACATGTTTTTCAGGGCAGTTCAGGTAGGCCCATACTACACATTCCCCAGGGCACTTTTTTTAATGTAAATTTTTTTGTGCAATGGCTGCTTTAAAGATGTATTTGCAAGTTATAGGGTAAAAAACGTACAGTACACACCTCTAGATGGCTTATCAGTTGAATTTTCAAAGACCTGAGAGGTAGTGAGTGTAATTCATGTAGATATATAATTCCTCAATTGGATGGCAACAGAAACATTCTGGCAATAACATACACATTGCATATTCTTAGTACCTGTATAGATTTACTTATATATGTGGACGATGATTCCATCTACAGTGTCAAATCATTTTTTTGTTGAAAGAAATGTAAGAAACATTACTTTGAATAATTAAGATAATAAAGACTTATTTAAGACCTTAATCCTAGTGTTGTGTATAATATAGCAACTAAAACTTCTAAGATATTTTCTATAACACTCCAATTAAATTGACTAATTTCTCCTATTTTCAGGTTCCCCTCAGGGCCAGAGCACCATTCAGCATACCACCCAGCAGCCTCCACCTCAGAACATGCAGCCAAACCATCCAGCTGGTTACAATATTCCACCTACAGTACAGCAGCAGCAGCAGCAACAACAACAACAACCACAGCAACAGCAGCAACCACTGTCACCTCCCCCCATGTCCCCTCATCAACAAGCAATGAATAATATGAACCTTGAATACAGCAGGGCATGTGAGTGATGTCTGCTTTTCTTTTTCCAGTTTGTACATCTGGGATTTGAAATGGCTAGTTATTTTACTGCCAAGATGTTGGGAAATCACTTACGCATGTTTTTCAGTCCCTAATTTTCTCTCCCTCTCTCTCTCTCTCTCTATTTCTCTCTTTCTCTCATGTATAATGATTTATATTTTTATATTAAAATAAGAAACAACAGATTTTAATGGTGTCATATTTTACATCTACCTATGTTTTTCAAAACTCATTCTTTTTCAGTGGTTCAAAATAAAAGTCTTGTAGTGTAGTGAATTTCATTTATGTAGTGACAATCATCCAGACAGAAGATTTATGCTTAAAGATACACAGCTGATGAGCTTTTTCAATATTGTACTGAATGTTTTATTCCCTCCATTTTTTCATGCAGCAAGCAGCACAATGAGCCACCCCATGTCTCCCCAACTGGATACATTTGGCCAGCTTCCTCAGTCACAGAACCTCAACCAGTTCCAGAGAAGTAAGGACACAGGAACATATAATATAGTTCTATTAAGTGTGTGTGTGTGTGCGTGTGCGTGTGTGTGTGTGTAGAGAAACCGACACCTTAGGCCATATGATCTTTGTGTATTAGACGTTTGAGTGAGTTTTATTACAAAACTACATGACATGTAACATTTTGAGTACCCTTAACACTGAAGGTTTCTGCATGTTGAGAAGCTACCAAGCATAAAGACTCATGTAACAAAGGAACATGTTTTGTTAAAATTGGTTTTTGTGGATACCAGTCTGTCTAATGATAGAGAAATTTGTCTAAAATTTCAATTTTATGTTTTCCTGTCTGACATTTCGACAGAAATTTATTAATGTTTGTGGCATAAGACAGGGGGTGTTTTTCCCCCCACATATTGTCTTTCACTCTACAGCACATTGTGTCTGTGGTATGTTGACATATAGGAGAGGAACCAGGTGTTCCGAATCTACAGAGAGCACTTACCACAGTAAAAACAAGACATGCAATTATAGTGCATTAATCACCTGTGGAAACATTGTTGAGGCAAAATTTCTGACTTTTATCAGAACAGCTGTTCATATCCCTGGTGATTCATGCATGTTTTAAGACTACTCCGTTTGAATGGCTTACCATTACAAGTTTTTCTTTTTTATTTTGCATTTAATAATTTTGGGGTATTTAGCAGTTGGTTATTTCGGCTTTAAATGTGGTACAGTTCTACTGCAAAAGTGATAAAGAAATGATTAAGATGACCAAAAGTCTTAAATAACTACTTTGTGTCTAGTGCATTTTATATCTGGTAAACTTGTGGTAATTTTTGTCTTACTGAATAATGTTCATATCAAGCGTTTGACACAAAAGGTTTTTTTCCCCCCAAGACCTTTTTAGTAACTATCAAATTTCAGGTACCTCCAGCAACTGGCCTGCCAACAATGCAGCAGCAACCTATACTCCAGCCTTGCCACAGGAAAACCAGTATTGTAAGTGGAATATTTAGTAACTGTATGTCCTAAAAATGTCATCAAGATTCGTGAAGAAGTATTTTCAGATGTCTGGTCTATAAACAAACTGACACTTATGAAAGCAGCATATGTAACACATTGGTCAGCCACAGAGTCAACAAGCCATCATATAATGTACAACTGTGAACATGCAATCTCAGCTGGAATGTTGTTGGAAATTTTGTGTTCAACAATGAATTTGCTTTGCCTCCAAATGCGCTAATATTAACTAGAAATATTTTTTGTCTCCTTGTCCTTCTTTTAAAATAGAAATTCATATCACAATGGACTCTTGGAGTAAGAGAGCATTTTATTTTGTTTTTCTTAGATGGAAAAAACAACAATCTAACAGAAATATATATATATATTTCTTTGTATCAAGACACATACAAATATACATATTTCTGTAATGTGGACACTGTAATGTCTTTTCAGGGAACCAGACAACTGCTGCCACTAGTCAGATACAGCACAATGTCCAGCCTTCCTTACCAGCTCTTACAAGTCAGCCAAGTAAGTATTCACTGTCCCGTCTTCTGACCACCTTTTCCACCCCTTACTGGAATATTCAGTCGTAGAATGGATTGGTATGTCACCTCATAGTCTATGATTTTAATGGCTTTGATTATCCTTCATTTCCTGTATAAGTAACAGGATTTCACAGAAAATGTTCAATATCAAATGTGGAATATGAAAAAGATTAGTGTGTAAATGCTATAAGGAAAATGGTAATATTCACAAATAGTCCAAGGAAAAGATATTGTTGAAGTACTGCTTTGGAAGTAAACAGTTATTTAGTTGTAAACTTATGCCATGCTACAGGGTATCATCTTTCATCAAGTTAAACGTATTAATCTTTCATGTTACCTAATAGAGTTCACATCTTAAATTGGGCATCATTCATATTATCCTGGACATTTCTTTGCAGTGCCCGAGTTCTGGTGTACCATAGCCTATTTTGAGCTGGATCAGCAGGTGGGTGAAACCTTCAAAGTGTCCAGCAGCTGTATGACAGTGACAGTGGATGGTTACACAGACCCTTCCAGTATTGACAGGTTCTGCCTGGGACAGCTGTCTAATGTGCACAGAACAGAGGCCAGTGAGAGGGCAAGGTAGGGCGTGTGTGTGTATGTGTGTGTTTTCTTCATCTTCTTCTTCTCTCTCTCTTTCTCTCTCTCAAGTCTTTGTGCACTGTTCTTATTGAATGATGGAGGTCATGGATGCCCATAGTTTTCTTTCTCTGACATTTCTTATTTTCCCTTTTATTGGTGACTCCTATCTATTGGCCAAGGCTCTTTGTGAATGTCAGCCTTTCTCTACCTCTTGCTGTCTTTCCCTCTGATTTGTCAGTGATTTCTAGATGTACAGTGGTGCTTCAGCTTTATGAAGAGTAATTTCAAGCTCTGTAAACTTCAGGTTACATATTGGCAAGGGCGTTCAGCTTGACTTACGCGGAGAGGGAGATGTTTGGATCAGGTGCCTCAGTGATCACAGCGTATTTGTACAGAGTTACTACTTGGACAGGGAGGCAGGCAGGGCGCCAGGAGACGCAGTTCATAAAATCTACCCAAGTGCCTACATAAAGGTGCCGATGACGATACTAAAATCTGTCTTGAAAACAGCAGTAGAATATTGCAGTGGATTAACTGGTGTAGAATCCCTAATAATTTGTTAAAGATCTCCCCTGTTGTGTGATATAAATATAACAACGTGTTTCATCTTTACAGCGGCAAATATTTTTTCTCATAGCACGTAAGAATGAGTCAGGAATAAGTATTTTTAATTTCCTCTTTTGCTTCAACTTGACAGATGTTTCTGTATTCTCCTGTCCTTTCAGGTGTTTGACATACGTCAGTGTCACCATCAGATGCAGCAACAAGCAGCTACCGCACAGGCAGCAGCAGCAGCACAGGCAGCCGCAGTAGCTGGCAACGTGCCAGGACCTGCCTCTGTGGGGGGCATAGCGCCAGCCATCGGTAACGCTTCAGGCAATGTATTGTTTAATGCTTTTGAAGGCAAAATTGTTTGCCTGTGCACTTAGGAAGTCTTTTTATTTTTTAGTTTTATTTTGATTTTTAACTTTAAATTAATTTTAAAAAAATTTTATTCTTTTAATAGTTGATGAAATGTGTTAATGTGCTTATAGTGCTGCATCCTTTTTGTGTGCAATATTACCTTTGAATGCTTATTTGTCTGATAAGCTATAGCATGAAGTAAACTAGCAGAATATTTTGCACATGTTATATCAGGTGTGTTAAGTCAAAAATCAAAAGAATGAGTGAAACATGTTATATAAATGCATGTTGTAATGTTTGTGGTAATTTTATTGCATGTCACTGTTAGTGGACTCTTGTTTTTCTTCTTTTCTTAGGTCTGTCGGCAGCAGCAGGCATTGGGGTAGATGACCTAAGGAGATTATGCATTTTACGGCTTAGCTTTGTGAAAGGCTGGGGACCTGACTACCGCCGCCACAGCATCAAAGAGACGCCATGTTGGATTGAGGTGCAGTTGCATCGCCCTCTACAGTTGTTGGACGAAGTATTACAAGCAATGCCACTTCATGATCCAAGACCTCCCAGGATGCTTCTGGGCTGAGCAATAGTATGTAGACTTTGTTTTGAAATTGAAAATGGATACGTGTACATTATTTTGCCTAAATCCATTTTTGTATGAATGGAGTTATGATCTGAAGCAGTTCTTAGTAACCATGACTGGAGAGATTGTTGGACATCTTGTAAATCCCCATCCAGTTCAGTTCCTTCTCTTGTGTTATTTACACTTCAAGTAAGGAAAGTCAAGAAGATACCACAATGAAATTTAGTATGTAAATAATGATGAATATATGCAGTTGGGCAGTGACTGAAGTTGCTGCTGCACTTATTGTGTAACTAAAGATATTTCCACACATCAGTAACTTCCATCATTAGTTGTACATAATTCATTATCTTAATGTAGAAAGATGAAAAAGAAAAGCATAAGATGCAAAAATTTGAAATTGTGAAGTGACAGGCTCCAGGGATAGTATCTGGAATAAGGGACATGCTGTGAATTAGCATTGTGGATATTTGGATGAAGTACGTGCATTTTACAATCTTGGACACATTTTGACTGTTTCGTTTAGAATAAGTCAATAGGACAATGTATTTTACTGGACAGTTTGACAGCTTAGAAAAACAAAAAAAATAAGAATTGTCAATATCATTAGAGTTTTATTCAGCAACACTGATGGGCGAGTAACAACAAACTCTCAACAAGAAAAATAAGTCTACCGTAAGACCATTATGTTGGGTTTATATATAATTTTAAAAATTATGTATTGACACAGTCTGTAATTACGGTTTAGATGATTTCTATGAGCCAGTACTGATCACTCATTTGCTGCTAAAAATGTTGCTGAGCAGCTATGGAAAGAAAAGGATGCCCACATGGTGTCAACATTTGATGGCTTAAAACAGAAGGAATTATGTTGTGATGTCAAGTGTAAAATATGATTCAATGATTAAGTGAGATACCAACTGCAGCTGGCTCTACTGTTTCTTTGTTTCTGGTGAATAAGTGTTTCTTGAGAAATTATTTTACAGATCATGAAAAGATGTATTGGGTAACCTACCTCATCTGTGCTTTAACACCAGAGTGGTGCTTGAAATGTCTACCAAGATAGGATGCTCAAAAAGTCGATAACAGACAATACGAAATCTTGTGTTTTACAGAGGTTAATTACTTTTGCATCAATTTTATACTTTTTTGCGCATACATTTATAAATTTGTGACAGATATTTGTGTTCATTACTTTCAGTATGTTGGTTCATATTTCCCCCCTTGTATTGCAATTTTTAAAATGCATTGTACCTCAGTCATACCTGGTTATAACTGTCAAAAAATTATAGTGATCTGTTTACTTGTACTAGTCGTAGAAAAGGCAAAAATTATTGAGTTGATAATGGAGCTAAATGACTAGATTACAAACGTGTCCATAACTATACCTAGTTAAATATAATTCTACATATTGATATTTTTGTTGAAAAACATGATTTTACAATTTTGTCCAACATTTTTACATTTATATGCAATTACATAAAATTTAAAGTTAGAATATAAATCTAAAGGGCAAAATTAAGGAATCGTTTCATTTTGCATTTTATAATTTTCAGTAAGGTGTAATTTTCATGCCAGACGTGATTCCTTATTTCTTGGTCGTTACCCCAGTTCAAACTTTATTTGATTGTTATTATTATTATTATTATTATGATTTTAATAGTTAATCTTATGACAACCATGTAAGATTTATAAATTTGGTAGCAGTCTAAATGTGCCCAAAATAAAGTCGTCTTAATACATGCATGAACAGTCTTCCAGTCATTACTATACACACTCTGTTAATGTGATGAAGGTAAAATTACAATTATGTATAACAGTGAGATTGAGGATTTTTTTCCTCTTGCTGTAAATTTTTTTCCTCTTGCCATTATAGATATCATGTACTGCTTTCTCAAAGATGTGCGACCTTTTTGAGGTATGAATAACTGTTTTCACTCTCAAATTCCAGTTTGTGGAAAGTAGGAGTACAGAGAATAGANATCTCTAGATGGCTTATCAGTTGAATTTTCAAAGACCTGAGAGGTAGTGAGTGTAATTCATGTAGATATATAATTCCTCAATTGGATGGCAACAGAAACATTCTGGCAATAACATACACATTGCATATTCTTAGTACCTGTATAGATTTACTTATATATGTGGACGATGATTCCATCTACAGTGTCAAATCAATTTTTTGTTGAAAGAAATGTAAGAAACATAACTTTGAATAATTAAGATAATAAAGACTTATTTAAGACCTCAATCCTGTGTATAATATAGCAACTAAAACTTCTAAGATATTTTCTATAACACTCCAATTAAAATGACTAATTTCTCCTATTTTCAGGTTCCCCTCAGGGCCAGAGCACCATTCAGCATACCACCCAGCAGCCTCCACCTCAGAACATGCAGCCAAACCATCCAGCGGGTTACAATATTCCACCTACAGTACAGCAGCAGCAGCAGCAACAACAACAACAACCACAGCAACAGCAGCAACCACTGTCACCTCCCCCCATGTCCCCTCATCAACAAGCAATGAATAATATGAACCTTGAATACAGCAGGGCATGTGAGTGGTGTCTGCTTTTCTTTTTCCAGTTTGTACATCTGGGATTTGAAATGACTAGTTATTTTACTGCCAAGATGTTGGGAAATCACTTACGCATGTTTTTCAGTCCCTAATTTTCTCTCCCTCTCTCTCTCTCTATTTCTCTCTCTCTCTCTCATGTATAATGATTTATATTTTTATATTAAAATAAGAAACAACAGGTTTTAATGGTGTCATATTTTACATCTACCAGTGTTTTTCAAAACTCATTCTTTTTCAGTGGTTCAAAATAAAAGTCTTATAGTGTAGTGAATTTCATTTATGTTGTGACAATCATCCAGACAGAAGATTTATGCTTAAAGATACACAGCTGATGAGCTTTTTCAATATTGTACTGAATGTTTTATTCCCTCCATTTTTTCATGCAGCAAGCAGCACAATGAGCCACCCCATGTCTCCCCAACTGGATACATTTGGCCAGCTTCCTCAGTCACAGAACCTCAACCAGTTCCAGAGAAGTAAGGACACAGGAACATATAATATAGTTTTTTTAAATGTGTGTGCGTGTGTGTGTGTGTGCGTGTGCGTGTGTGTGTGTGTGTAGAGAAACCGACACCTTAGGCCATATGATCTTTGTGTATTAGACGTTTGAGTGTGTTTTATTACAAAACTACGTGACATGTAACATTTTGAGTACCCTTAACACTGAAGGTTTCTGCATGTTGAGAAGCTACCAGGCATAAAGACTCATGTAACAAAGGAACATGTTTTGTTAAAATTGGTTTTTGTGGATACCAGTCTGTCTAATGATAGAGAAATTTGTCTAAAATTTCAATTTTATGTTTTCCTGTCTGACATTTCGACAGAAATTTATTAATGTTTGTGGCATAAGACAGGGGGTGTTTTTCCCCCCACATATTGTCTTTCACTCTACAGCACATTGCGTCTGTGGTATGTTGACATATAGGAGAGGAACCAGGTGTTCCGAATCTACAGAGAGCACTTACCACAGTAAAAACAAGACATGCAATTACAGTGCATTAATCACCTGTGGAAACATTGTTGAGGCAAAATTTCTGACTTTTATCAGAACAGCTGTTCATATCCCTGGTGATTCATGTATGTTTTAAGACTACTCTGTTTGAATGGCTTACCATTACAAGTTTTTCTTTTTCTTTTGCATTTGATAATTTTGGGGTATTTAGCAGCTGGTTATTTTGGCTTTAAATGTGGTACAGTTCTACTGCTAAACTGATAAAGAAATGATTAAGATGACCAAAAGTCTTAAATAACTACTTTGTGTCTAGTGCATTTTATATCTGGTAAACTTGTGGTAATTTTTGTCTTACTGAATAATGTTCATATCAAGCGTTTGACACAAAAGGTTTTTTTTCCCCAATAAAACTGAGTACCTTTTTAGTAACTATTAAATTTCAGGTACCTCCAGCAACTGGCCTGCCAACAATGCAGCAGCAACCTATACTCCAGCCTTGCCACAGGAAAACCAGTATTGTAAGTGGAATATTTAGTAACTGTCTGTCCTAAAAATGTCATCAAGATTCGTGAAGAAGTATTTTCAGATGTCTGGTCTATAAACAAACCGACACTTATGAAAGCAACATATGTAACACATTGGTCAGCCACAGAGTCAACAAGCCATCATATAATGTACAACTGTGAACATGCAATCTCAGCTGGAATGTTGGGGGAAAATTTGTGTTCAACAATGAATTTGCTTTGCATCCAAATGCGCTAATATTAACTATAAAATATTTGTTGTTTCCTTGTGCTTTTAAAATAGAAATTCATATCACAATGGACTCTTGCAGTAAGAGAGCATTTTATTTTGTTTTTCAAGACACATAGAAATATACATATTTCTTTAATATGGACACTGTAATGTCTTTTCAGGGAACCAGACAACTGCTGCCACTAGTCAGATACAGCACAATGTACAGCCTTCCTTACCAGCTCTTACAAGTCAGCCAAGTAAGTATTCACTGTCCCGTCTTCTGACCACCTCTTCCACCCCTTACTGGAATATTCAGTCGTAGAATAGATTGTTATGTCACCTCATAGTCTATTATCTTAATGGCTTTGATTATCCTTTATTTCCTGTATAAGTAACAGGATTTCATGGAAAATGTTCAATATCAAATGTGGAATATGGAAAAAGTATAAAAACTATAAGGAAAATAACATTATTCACAAATAGCCCAAGGAAAAGATGTTGTTGAAGTACTGCTTTGGAAGTAAACAGTTATTTAGTTGTAAACTTATGCCATGCTACAGGGTATCATCTTTCATCAAGTTAAAAGTATTAATCTTTCATGTTACCTAATAGAGTCTACATCTTAAATTGGGCATCATTCATATTATCCTGGACATTTCTTTGCAGTGCCTGAGTTCTGGTGTACCATAGCCTATTTTGAGCTGGATCAGCAGGTGGGTGAAACCTTCAAAGTGTCCAGCAGCTGTATGACAGTGACAGTGGATGGTTACACAGACCCTTCCAGTATTGACAGGTTCTGCCTGGGACAGCTGTCTAATGTGCACAGAACAGAGGCCAGTGAGAGGGCAAGGTAGGGTGTGTGTGTGTGTGTATTTTCTTCATCATCATCTTCTTCTTCTTCTCCCTCTCTCTTTCTCTCTCTCTTTCTCTCTCTTTATGCCCTGTTCTTGCCACATGATGGTGGTCATGGATGTCCATAGTTTTTTTTCTCTGACATTTCTTATTTTCCCTTTTATTGGTGACTCCTATCTATTGGCTAAGGCTCTTTGTGAATGTCAGCCTTTCTCTACCTCTTGCTGTCTTTCCCTCTGATTTGTCAGTGATTTCTATATGTACAGTGGTGCTTCAGCTTTATGAAGAGTAATTTCAAGCTCTGTAAACTTCAGGTTACATATTGGCAAGGGCGTTCAGCTTGACTTACGCGGAGAGGGAGATGTTTGGATCAGGTGCCTCAGTGATCACAGCGTATTTGTACAGAGTTACTACTTGGACAGGGAGGCAGGCAGGGCGCCAGGAGACGCAGTTCATAAAATCTACCCAAGTGCCTACATAAAGGTGCCAATGACGATACTAAAATCTGTCTTGAAAACAGCAGTAGAATATTGCAGTGGATGAACTGGTGTAGAATCCCAAATAATTTGTTAAAGATCTCCCCTGTTGTGTTATATAAATATAACAACGTGTTTCATCTTTACAGCGGCAAATATTTTTTCTCATAGCACGTAAGCATGTGTCAGGAATAAGTATTTTTAATTTCCTCTTTTGCTTCAACTTGACAGATGTTTCTGTATTCTCCTGTCCTTACAGGTGTTTGACATACGTCAGTGTCACCATCAGATGCAGCAACAAGCAGCTACCGCACAGGCAGCAGCAGCAGCACAGGCAGCCGCAGTAGCTGGCAACGTGCCAGGACCTGCCTCTGTGGGGGGCATAGCGCCAGCCATCGGTAACGCTTCAGGCAATGTATTGTTTAATGCTTTTGATGGCAAAATTGTTTGCCTGTGCACTTAGGAAGTCTTTTTATTTTTTAGTTTTATTTTGATTTTTAACTTTAAATTAATTTTTAAAAAAATTTATTCTTTTAATAGTTGATGAAATGTGTTAATGTGCTTATAGTGCTGCATCCTTTTTGTGTGCAATATTACCTTTGAATGCTTATTTGTCTGATAAGCTATAGCATGAAGTAAACTAGCGAAATGTTTTGCACATGTTATATCAGGTGTGTTAAGTCAAAAATCAAAAGAATGAGTGAAACATGTTATATAAATGCATGTTGTAATGTTTGTGGTAATTTTATTGCATGTCACTGTTAGTGGACTCTTGTTTTTCTTCTTTTCTTAGGTCTGTCGGCAGCAGCAGGCATTGGGGTAGATGACCTAAGGAGATTATGCATTTTACGGCTTAGCTTTGTGAAAGGCTGGGGACCTGACTACCGCCGCCACAGCATCAAAGAGACGCCATGTTGGATTGAGGTACAGTTGCATCGCCCTCTACAGTTGTTGGACGAAGTATTACAAGCAATGCCACTTCATGATCCAAGACCTCCCAGGATGCTTCTGGGCTGAGCAATAGTATGTAGACTTTGTTTTTAATTTAAAAATGGATACGTGTACATTATTTTGCCCAAATCCATTTTTGTATGAATGGAGTTATGATCTGAAGCAGTTCTTAGTAACCATGACTGGAAAGATTGTTGGACATCTTGTAAATCCCCATCCAGTTCAGTTCCTTCTCTTATGTTATTTACACTATAAGTAAGGAAAGTCAAGAAGATACCACAATGAAATTTAGTATGTAAATAATGATGAATATATGCAGTTGGGCAGTGACTGAAGTTGCTGCTGCACTTATTGTGTAACTAAAGATATTTCCACACATCAGTAACTTCCATCATTAGTTGTACATAATTCATTATCTTAATGTAGAAAGATGAAAAAGAAAAGCATAAGATGCAAAATTTGAAATTGTGAAGTGACAGGCTCCAGGGATAGTATCTGGAATAAGGGACATGCTGTGAATTAGCATTGTGGAAATTTAGATTAAGTATGTGCATTTTACAATCTTGGACACATTTTGACTGTTTCGTTTAGAATTAGTCAATAGGACAATGTATTTTACTGGACAGTTTGATAGCTTAGAAAAACAAAAAAATAAGAATTGTCAGTATCATTTGAGTTTTTATTTTGCAACACTGAACGGTGAGTAACAACAAACTCTCAACAAGAAAAATAAGTCTACTATAAGACCATTATGTTGGTTTTATATATAATTTTACAAATGATGTATTGACAGTCTGTAATTGCAGTTTAGATGATTTCTATGAGCCAGTACTGATCACTAATTTGCTGGAAAAAGGATGCCCACGTGGTGTCAACATTTGATGGCTTAAAACAGAAGGAATTATGTTGTGATGTCAAGTGTAAAATATGATTCAATGATTAAGTGAGATACCAACTGCAGCTGGCTCGACTGTTTCTTTGTTTCTGGTGAATAAGTGTTTCTCGAGAAATTATTTTACAGATCATGAAAAGATGTAATGGGTAACCTACCTCATCTGTGCTTTAACACCAGAGTGGTGCTTGAAATGTCTACCAAGATAGGATGCTCAAAAAGTCGATAACAGACAATACGAAATCTTGTGTTTTACAGAGGTTAATTACTTTTGCATCAATTTTATACTTTTTTGCGCATACATTTATAAATTTGTGACAGATATTTGTGTTCATTTCTTTCAGTATGTTGGTTCATATTTCCCCCCTTGTATTGCAATTTTTAAAATGCATTGTACCTCAGTCATACCTGGTTATAACTGTCAAAAAATTATAGTGATCTGTTTACTTGTACTAGTCGTAGAAAAGGCAAAAAATATTGAGTTGATAATGGAGCTAAATGACTAGATTACAAATGTGTCCATAACTATACCTAGTTAAATATAATTCTACATATTGATATTTTTGTTGAAAAACATGATTTTACAATTTTGTCCAACATTTTTACATTTATATGCAATTACATAAAATTTAAAGTTAGAATATAAATCTAAAGGGCAAAATAAAGGAATCGTTTCATTTTGCATTTTATAATTTTCAGTAAGGTCTAATTTTCATGCCACCCTTTCAAAACGAAGCAGACGTGATTCCTTATTTCTTGGTCGTTACCCCAGGTCAAACTTTATTTGATTGTTATTATTATTATCATGATTTTAATAGTTAATCTTATGACAACCATGTAAGATTTATAAATTTGGTAGCAGTCTAAATGTGCCCAAAATAAAGTCGTCTTAATACATGCATGAACAGTCTTCCAGTCATTACTATACACACTCTGTTAATGTGATGAAGGTAAAATTACAATTATGTATAACAGTGAGATTGATAATTTTTTTCTTCTTGCCATTATAGATATCATGTACTGCTTTCTCAAAGATGTGCGACCTTTTTGAGGTATGAATAACTGTTTTCACTCTTAAATTCCAGTTTGTGGAAAGTAGGAGTACAGAGAATAGACTTAACCAGTCACTTAACTTCAGCAATGAATGTCCTTTGGAGTAGGAACGCCAAACTTGATTGTGAACACTCCTTTCAATAACCCTGTGGTTCATGATATTATCTATTAGATTGTTCATAGTTCCAATGATAGCTTCCAGAATTAAAATTATTTAATGAGAGATCTTTTTTAGGGTGTAAAAAGATTCTTGCACTTAAAATTGAAGTCTGAAAAAATAAAAAAAGCATCTTAAACTGTATTTTGTAAATTGATCATTTATTAAAAAAATATTGTGACAGTCTTAACTGGAATCCCTTAACCTTAATGAGTATAACTGTTACTAGAAAATCCTACTGGTTCCTATTAATATAACTTTGTATAGTGTCTAAACAACAAGTACACTGAATTTTACTGATTCAGAATGGGAATGAGTGGCCATACTACTACTTCCGGGGTAGCACCCTTTTTTACACCAACATTTTCCTGATGAGACGCAGTTATGCATGGTTCTATCAAAATCTAGTAGGCTTATGAAGTTGTCTTGAGTGATAACGAATATATCATACTAGATATCTTTTTCGATCATCTCCATAAAATTTCACAAAGAATTCTAAAATGCACAAGACATTTCTTTGTTCAATGGTATCGAACAAAACTAAAATTCTCTTATATAGTTAAACAAATAACATACTGAACCAATCTAAACAAACAAAACGTGACATGAACATATAACAAAGCACCAGAGGCCTTGCACCTTGAATTATGGCAAGTGAAGAATCAAACACTAAAGGAAAAACAAAATACATAAACTTTCTTAAAATTAAACATTGCCACACCCCTTTGACTACAAATTATTGATACTGGTCGCTGGCTTCGTACAATCTGCTGAACATCAGCACAGGCAAGAAAGCATAGTCTCTGCCTTCAAACACAATAAAACACCTTGGCCCCTAGAAATCTATTTAAAATACAATATTTGCCAATCAAATACAAAAAGCTAAATGTCTACCTAATTATCATATAAATTATCTTACATATTAATATCTTAATACCATACTGGAAATATCTGACAACATATCATTTCATGACTAACAGTCAGGCATATACTGATAAAGCCGTTTCTTACTTCATAGGAAGAAAAAAACAACTTTATGGTAACTAAATAAAAAAAAATACCCACTACCCTTATAATTCATCGTCTTTCAACTATTATATGTTTTAACTGCCTGAGAGAAGACTACCATTTCATTCGTGTCTTTAACATGAACTTTATCAATACAGCATCATAGCAATGAAGCTAAAAAACATCAAGCTACTGAAACTGACTAGAAATGTGATCATCCATACATTTTTACAAAATGTGTTTAAATTAAGTCCTGCAAGCTGGCAATGATAAAATGGACAAAAATGAGCTACAAAAACACAAGATGATCACACATGGGATTCTACCATGGATACTTAATTTGCTTTCACAAAGTTAATTAAGCTTAAATACTACCGAAAACAAGCACAGTGAAATGCTGAATAAAGTTTCAGGGAGTACCTATGAAAAATCAAAACATTAATTATGCCAATTATTCATCCTTTAATTTTTTCTATACTTTTACTAAATGATATCAATGATGTATTTTAAATGTATGTTCTCCAACAATGAGTATGACATTATATCCCCCCCCCCCCCCCTCCATTTTTGGCTTTGTTTCACAGGAAACGTTTGGTGTTCCCATGGGATATGGACACTATACTTTAAGGTCAATCTGCAGCATTTATTACTTCAGCAGGTCAAGTCGAGGTTATTTTCATACTTTCCTAATATAGTATATTAAAACTTGATATCCATTTTCACTTCATATGCAAATGGACTCTTATGAAAAAAAATACAATGGTGAGCAAATTCATAAACCATAAAGCAAGTTAATGTACAGTAATGAAGGCCATACTTTTCTCATAAGTATAATTGCATGCATACTCTTTGTGTAGGTACTCATGCCAAATTCACATTGAACATTTGAAGCTGTTAACCACAGACAACTGACAACCACAAAGCTTTATTACTTTCAAACTTAAAATTTCTCTCCAACTATTTTTGCAAACATATTATTTGGTACTTAATTGCAACGGGTGTCTCGATGGGAAGCATTCAGCTGTAGGCTGATCATAATTTGTTTTTTCTTCTTTTTTATTTATTTGTTTTTAACAAAGGGCTTCAAATATATTAATAGAACTTTTTGGCTGCTGCCTCTTTGCTGTTTCTGAAAGGTTAAAGAAAATACACTTAAGAAAAACTTTCTTTCAAAATCAATTCAATACAACTAAATGAAAAACTAAATTGTAATGTGAAACAGGTTGATATAATTAAACATTAGCATTTTTAATTGTTAAACTATTTTTCAAACTTACCTATAAACAATATATCCTATCATCATTGCTAACTGAGCACCCATGAATATAAAAAAGTAGGCTGGTGTTAGACAGGAGCCGCCCTGGACTGGTGGACAACCCTGGAACAAATGATAATTGCCTTATATATTTTGGTTGCCAATTTGATTCCAGAGTACAAAATTCTTTCTTTTATTCATATAAAGCCAACTTTTTTAGGTTTTACAATATAAAAAAACACCTTTTTTCAAGAGTATTTTCAAGCAAAAACAAATATAAAGATATGTTATATTAAAACATGTAAATTAATCCACAGCAACTTTAACCACGGTTAAATCTACCTTGTAGATACAGACTCAAATTCATGTTAAAGGCACACGGCACATTACAGCTTTACAGATATTAAACAAGGACTGTAAATCCCCTCACAAATTTTTACCCAGGCCTTTAAAATTTTGAGTTTTCTCTAATTCCATTATGAGAGCGAGTCAAATACCGGAAATTTCAAACTCAAAAATAAGTTAATGGACAACTTATTAATTATAACTGTGAATTAACTAATTAATAACTCTGTCAATGGTTTTGGATACAATAAGTGAAAATTTCCAAGGAAATAACATTTTGACTACATAAACGTGTAAGGCTCATTGTGGAAGCCTTTAAAAGTTCAATCCACAAAATACTAAAGTAATGGAGAGGTGATCACCCATACCTGGTTAGGCCTTGAAAGTAAATCAGTTTTTAGCTCATTCATGTTATCTCTGATTTGGTGTAGGAGTTGCTGGGAAGCAAAGGGGTCTCCTCCACCTGGACCCTGTGCCTGTGCAGACCTCTTCTGTATATCACTTACTAAAAACCTAAAAATATTGTCAAATGTCATTCCAAAAATGCACCACTTAAAAACATTCAGGCACAAGAATAATTGCCTTATACATTTTGGTTACAAATTGGATCATTTAGAACAAAACCCTTTCTTTTATTCATACAAAGCCAATGGAAAATATCCTAACATAAACATTCAGTCACAGTTTACACTCCTAGTATACTCTACACAAAAGAACAAAGTAACAAAACCATTCTACCCTGAAGATGATGATAACACAATTTTATGCAGACACTATTTCACATAAAGATGATTTTTGCTTCAAAAAATCCTTAAGGAGACTCTCTCATATTTCAGAAACACCATTTCTGCCCTAGCGATTTTGAAAAAAATTGTAAGACAAAATCTGTTTACCACATGAGTAAAAAATATGAAAAAAATTTTTTTTTTTGAGTAATCCAGCTTGTTTACAAGAGGTAGCGTCCTGAAAAATGTCACGAAGTTTGTAAACAAGTCGTAAGTGGGTATGTTATGTCAGAAAACTCCAAACATCCCCAAGCGTTCTTTACTAAATGCGAAGTTTTGTTGACACATTCCTGATGCTCCATCAAAAAAAAACAATAATCTAAAGCTTTCATTAAATAATGAAGAACATATTTTTTTGCGTTATGTTTTAATCATTAGTAGCTGTTGTAAATAAAAAGTACCCAATATAAGAGAGCCTCCCTCAGTAAATAAAATTTCATAGCACAGGTGGGCTCTTACTTGACATCGTTGATCATGTTACTGACATCCCTCTGACTATTGAGTAGAGAGTCTACCTCGTGTCTTCTCATACCATCTGAGGCTGGGAGCTGGGCAGGCTGTCCCTGCTGTTGGTACTGGGGTGTCCCTACCCTAGCTGACAACTGGGACTCGATAGAGGCCTGTCTTCCTATCAGTTCATCCACCTTTCTGTGCAGCTCATTCATAACTCTGTGGATGCCATTCTGACCCTCAAATATCATGCGCAGTTCTCTCTCATAAGCACCCTCATACTGAAAAAAATGAGTTTCACATATGATATTAAAAATTTAAGCACCCTTCCATGTATGATTTATACTTTATTTACCATCAACTTAGATTCATTTACATGAAATGGCTAGATGAAATAATAATGATAATATTACTCTGACAAAGCAAAAGCCATTTTCAATACCGTCTCTTAAAGGATCAATAAGGCAACATTTATTAAGTTGATATGTTACAGTTACACAAAAACTTCAAACAATAATCAACACATCTAAAGAATCTTTTACCAGCACTTACCGCTTGTGACTCCTCCATTTCCCTGGCTTTATCTGGGTGCTGTTGTTTGTATCTAAAAGTAAAGTAAATGAAAAAGTAAACAACAACAACCTCACTATATCATCAATGAAACTTGCAATTAAAATAAATTGGAAAAAAATTATACTAAGAAAAGTCATAAACTTGGCACCTAAAATACCATACATCATAAGTTATGTAAACAAATATGCTGGTAAATTTTTCTAAAGTTGCACAATTACACTTTTAAAATTTTAAAAAAATCAATAATTCTTAATTCAGTGATCATAAACTTGTCTTACTCTTCTTGTGCCTTCTGTAATTTCTCCCAGTACTCATCAAATTCAGTTTCAAACTTTTTCTTGTCTTCTGGAGATACCTTTCCTTCTGGTTGTGCCTTGAGGTTGTAAGAAAAATGTCATATGATCTTTAATTATGTATCCCAAATTCAAAGATATTCA